CTCCATTACCACACTTACATTGTAATTTGTGCAGAATTAGATGAACGGCAAATAAATACCTCTAATATACTGTATACATATTGAAGGCTTTTACGTTTGCTTAATCACTAAATTACTATTATTGTAAACACGTTCAGCTAAAATCCTGCAGGCTCATTCCCTTAAAGCTGGAGCTAGTGCATCTTGCATAGTACTATAAAAAAATGCTAAATAGGATAATAAGGAGACTGTATTTACGCCCCAGCTTTTATTTCTGTCTTCTGCATCTCGGCACATTTACGGTCACATTCCCCTAATGCAATTCATGTATTTTCATTTGGTTCTTGGGTCTATGCCAGTTATGCAAGTATATAAGTTAGCTAGCAATTACGTTCTATTTTTCCCTCCTATTTTAATAAAGATACTACAATTACTGACATTGGTTGCAGCGCTTACATCTTTATAAAATACAACTTAGCATTATTTAAAGAGGTAGGCCTCTAAATAAATACCTACCTACCAGTATTTTCCCATATAGTCCTTCCTGGTATAACCAAGACTGTAAATTAAAACAAGTCACGGTTTGTCTCTCCAAACATTAGTTAAAGTGACCGCCCTTCCAGGACAAGTTCAAGCTTCCCCAACTCTATTTCAATTATATACGGTTAGTATCTAGTTTCATTCCTAGGTTTGCCATTTTCATTTTTTCATATTTCAGGGGGGTTTAGGTTATAACTCAATCATTATGACATGTTTTAGGAACAAGTAGGGGTCATTCTTACTGACTACATCCTACAGGCCAACAGCAGGTATGTGTGAAAAAAAACAAAAACCCAGATAGGTAGGAACGTAAGGTTAACAATTACCAATTAAGTAAAATTCCATAGGCCTCTTCGCCTTTACTTGAGTTGTCCCGCAAGGCCAACACCCATTCCTATGGTCGGAGGTACAAGCCCAATTGGCCCAACGCATAGTTATCGCCTTGCATCATAGTTAAAGCCTCACTCATCACAGCCAATCAATATTAAAATCTTATATGTGTCACTGAGAGGCCAACACCCCGCCACCCACCTCAGTGGCACAAAGGCCCCATGAGTCAAATCATAGGTAGAGCAACTTGGCAAGTTGTAAGGGCGTCATCCGTCACCTAAGATAGTGAGAATAATATAATTAGGGCACTAAACTAGTAAACTGGGTTACTTCATATCCACACAAATACCATATTAACTAAGTTATCTGCCTCACACCCATAGCATGTCTAACGCTTCATTACAAGGAGATGACCTGTTGGTTACCAGCACCCCGACCAAACCAGGCTCGCAGACAAGGCAAACCGTACTGGCCAGCCCAGCGTTCCGCTATAGATCCTGGACAATACCAAAAATTACTGCTGAACTTAAAAAGAAAAATATTCCCTTCCCAGCCACAGCCAGGAAAGCCGAACTTTAAATGCAAATGAGGACAATGAAAGACCCGACACTAGTTCTGAATATAATATTCAAAATAGCCTGTCAGAACTGCACAACATGATGGCCTCCCTAGTGTCTTCCGTAGCCACAATAAATAAAAGGTTGGATAATTTGGAATCAAATAACAGACCAACCATTCCGGAGACTCCAGTACCTATAGCCCAGCCAGAGCCTAACCCAGGAGGTAACGCTAACCTGCTAAAAGTACCAACATAATAAACCCAATTCATCTAATCTTACAAAAATTAAAACAAGACATAATAGAGGGGAAATACATCAATCTGGCTTTTTTATTCATAGCTTCTCAAGACGTAATTGAGAACAGATCATACACGTTCGATGATTTGTCAGTAGTTATGTAATCGAGAGACCCAAGACTGAACAGAAAGTTAAATATCCCTGAATTTGTACTGGCTTTTTGGCCTTTACAGGAACGTAATTTGTTCTGCTTTCCCCCTCCGTAGAGAGGAACTTTATTTATATTTACATAAGATAATTGACTTGATGAATAAATACGGAGGCTACGCCTTTTATAACTACCACAAGTCCTTCGCATCCAGATCAGCTGCGTCACTGGCCTAATATAATACACCTACCAACTGGGGCCAGTTAGACACTGAATTATTTTGCAGACATTTTGCGGGTCTCAAAACACCTTCTTGCGCAATATGTTCCTCAGCAGCTCATACTGTTAACTTTTGTCCCAGCAACGTAGCAATTCCCGCCACTAGCAATGCCAACCCCGAGTATCAACCCAACATGGCCCAAAGAGAATTGAGAAATAAACTAGGCAGGCCAATCGTTTTTCTTGGAAAGGCTCAAGTCTGTAACAACTTCAATGCTGGAGGTTGTAGTTACAGTGCTTGCATACTCCTTCACATATGCTCACTTTGTTACAGAGCACATGCTAAAACAATGTGCCCAAACAGATTGTACCCTAAAAGATCATCTACACCAATAAACATTCCTAATTTGCAACATTACCTATCTAATTATCCTTCCTTAGATCTGGTAGAATTTCTTACATCTGGTTTCTCTAATGGGTTTCACACAGGTTTCATTGCACTCTCCACAGGAATTCTGGAATGCCCCAACCTACAGTCAGTGCTCAATGACCCTAGTAGTCTACAGGAACTCCACCATAAAGAAATCAACAATGGTTTCATGATAGGGCCTTTTACAACCCTACCTTTCACCTCCTGGAGAACGAACCCTCTAGGCATAGCTACAGGGAAGTTTAACAATTAAAAAAAAGACTCATAACTGAATTTTCAGCACCTCACTCTTCCAGGACACCTAGCTTAAATGCACTGATACCATCCAAGGATTTCTCTCTACAATGCGCAAGAATAGACAATGCCATACAAGCTATCATTAACTCCGGCAAGGCAGCGTGGTTAAGTAAAACAGTTATCACAAATGCATTCAAACTACTACCAATCCATCAGTCACTCTGGCACCTGCATGGCGTTAAGTGGGAAGGCAAGTACTATTTTGCAACCAGACTAACTTTCGGCTCCGAAAGTAGCCCCAAGATCTTTGATATTTTCGCTGAAACTTTGACCTGGCTCCTACTTAACAAATGCAGATGTCCAGTAATCATTCAATATTTGGACAATTTTCTCTCTATTGAACCACACCACTCCATACCAAGCAGCCTACATCACATGCGGTCACTGTTTGAGGATTTAGGAGTTCCAGTAGCCCTGGACAAAACAAAAGGTTTTACGAGATTACGTTCCTAGGGATAACACTTAATTCAGTTTCAATGCATTCCCAAGCAAAGTTAGATAGAATTCTAGCATACATCGATATCTTTACCTCACAAGGGTCTTGCACCAGGAAAGAGCTACAGTCACTTCTGGGGTCACTCAATTTCGCGATGAAGATAATTCCACAGGGGAGGTAATTTATTTCCAGAATTCTCTCTCTTACACGGTCTCCCCGACGACAATTCCAGAACTAACTAGACGAATCAGCTAGAGCCAATTTAAAAATGTGGCATCTATTTCTATCCTCTTGGAATGGCAGGTCATTATTCATTCCCCCCATCTTGGACGATTCCCCGGTAATTTGGACTGACGCATCAGGTGCCATAGGTTATGCAGCGATTTTTGGCAATGACTGGGTATACGACTCTTGGCCACCAGAGAATACCTCACTAGAAAATTTTCACCACCACCTCAGCACTATTTGAAATTTTTCAGACAACTTGTCAGCATGTAACATCATTAATAAAGGCCGCGTTCAGTCCCTTACTATCACGTACTTAGAAAGGAAACTTACCTGGTTAAGCGTAGCGGCAAATCTACAGTTCTGTATTCACGTTCCAGGCATTCAGAATAACGCAGGTGACGCACTCTCACATTCTAATTTGCGGGAATTTTTAAGAGTCCATCCGACAGCAAATTTACAACCCAAAGAACCTCCAAAGTTCACAGACCTAGTAATGCTCTAAATACCCTGTTAAGTCACAGTAGGTTGCTTGCACAGGCTGGTTTGTCATTCAATACTAAGAAAGCCTATACCAGAGAATATGATTTGTTCAAAAGTTTTGTACGAGATTACTGTGTAATAAATGTCTTTTCCATAGAAACCATTGTTCGCATTCACAACTTTTGGACACATATCTCTAAAATTAGCATACAATACAATCAAACTTAACAGGCATACAACACTGCATGTTAACTATTTATCCAAACAAAGCTCCATTCCTAGCATCTTACCCAGTCAAAAGTGTACTTAGAGGCGTTCAGAGACTAACAGTTCATAATCCCATTAAAAGACTTCCAATATATAGTAACCTATTTAGGAACATCTCCGATCTACTAGACGAGACCCCATTTGAGACTGTCACTAATATGATAATCAAATCCGCAGCCTACGTAGCCTTTTACGGTTTCCTGAGACTGACTTTAAGTCATGCCTTAAGAGGAAACACCTAACGACCACTATATTTTGTCAGTCTTTCATACCACAATGAGCCAGACTGGTAGAGATTAATTATTACCCTACCTCTACCAAGTGGTGTCCAATTCACATATTGGATAATCTAGTCAAGACACAGCTTACAACTGACCCCAAACCCCACTATTAGCCATTCAAGGGAAACCCCTAACCACCAAACAGTTCATGCTATACATGCGCACATGGTTACTCAGGCTGGGACACAACCCGCATTCATTCTCTGGCCATTCATTCCGTATTGGGGCGGCCACAGCAGCTTCCGGTAATCACGTACCAATACATATTAAAAACATGGGACGTTGGAAATCTTCTACATACAACAGGTACATCCCTAATCCAGAAAAAGAAATCAGATTAGCTTTCCATGAAATGTCTAAATAATGTCTTGCTAAATAAAATGTCTGACTAAAGAAATAGTTTTCTTAACTTTTTGCCCTCTTTTTCAGGTCTAACCTCACTTCGGTTTCGGCACACCTCAACCGACTTTGTTCTTATTAAACTTTCATTATATTATAATCATATGTTCCTCTAAATGTGCCATACACATACATACATATACATACATATAATACACACACATATATCTATCGAAAAGAAAAAGTGGTGTGTGTGTGTGTATGTATGTGTGTGTGTGTATATATATACACATATACATACACACACACACACCACTTTTTCTTTTCAAACGTTTTATTACACCACTTAGTCTTACTAGGCCTAAACCAACCAGCCTATACAGCCCTAACTCAGCCTGCAAAAACTTGCTGGTATTGTTTAGAAATTGTATCCTTACTTTACATACTGTCACTTCATTCTTGCACAGAGTTAGCAACATTATATGTCTCAAGTCACCTACATCGAGACACAGTATAATCTATTGTGTTGGTTGTATACTTGTCATCATTTGGCATTTGTCTTCTACTCAGCCCTCCATTGCATGCCATGCTACCACCCTTCAAGCCTAACTACTCTTCATACCTTTACTAATGGACTGGACCAAACACCAGGACATCACTATTGGCCGTTTCACAACCTTGGAATGCTTATCCTTTTGTTCGTCCCATACATCCGTAGCCCTCATTCAGCCCTATTTCTCAAACCAGCAGCTCAGGACTGACCTTGAGCACTCTGCCTTCTGCTACGATACCTCTACACACGGCTCTCACTCCATACGATTACACACAGCCCTCCAGGGGCAACAACTATGAAAATGTCCGCCCCTTATTTGGACAATTACATACGTCAATTTCCTTATATACGAAGGGTCAAAAAAAAAAAAATACAACCTTTCGTACTACATTCCATTATTATACTTGGCCTTGTTAGGCCTATGCAAGGCTTTCCCATAGAGCCCTCTCTCGACACACTCCCAAGAACCTAGAACCTACTACTTTTAACATAGGCGGGGCTATTCATTCTGTCACTATTTTAACTATTTCAGTTTTAACCTAACCTCACTTGCTAGTTCTGGTATATTGCTTCATCCAGTACGCTATGGTGAAAGCATAAGATTTCCAGCATCCCATGGTTTTGATTATATGAGCTGGAATTTGGTTGGAGGAAGCAGATGATGCTGCCCCTATGCAGAAAGAAGGTCTAGTCTTGCGTTTAAGCCTAGTCTTGTCAATAGTATATGTACATAAAGCATAAATTTAGTGGTGGTAAGAGTGGAACCATGAAATAGTGGTTGATTTGAAAGTTTGTGAAAGGTGCTGAAAACTTTAACCGGGCACCATTTATTAGAGGTAGGGAAAAGGGGTATGCCAATCATGAGATATTTGGTTGGTTTTGGAATGGTGAAGGGAAAGAATGTAATGGTCTATAGATATGTGGATATCGGCCATTTTAAGGTGGTTTGTGGTTGTGACATTGATGGAGGTAAATTCCCTTGAACGTAAGAATCCATAAAAGCCAAGATATATTGCTGTTTTAAGCACCATATTGGTAGTATGTTTGAACAGAGCCGTATCTAACAGGTCAGATAATGACTGGAAAATTTTGTTGTGAATGGGTAGTCTTTTATGGGGTAGGTGTGTGTCTGATTTTTGGATTCCCTTCAGCAGTGTTTTGATCTGGTATGCCAAAAGGAATTCTGTTTTGTTTGGGTGTTGTATTAACATGTGGTGTTGAATGCCCGTTAAATACAGTTTTATAGTGTTGAAAGATAACTTTAAATTAATGTGACAAAAAGAAGTGAACCCAAACATGGCCTCCAAAGCAAAAGTGTCCTGTATGTGAAATTCCGCCAAGAACTTAGTGAAAATGTAAAAGGCCCTATCATAGGACTACCTGGAGCTAACCGAAAGTGCCTGGTGGGAAAGGTTACGTGCATGAGTCAATAGCACGCTTAATCCAGAATCATGTCCTGGAAAGGAGGGGCAAGGGTAGCCTGACTGGAATTGGTGGGTAGAGACTGGAGGAAGGCCTGAGAGTGAAAACGAGATAAGTGATCAGCAGCTATATTCGTGACACCCGGAACGTGAATATAGGTGATGAAAAATTGTCTGGTTGCCGCCACCCAGGTGAGTCACCTTAAAAACCTCATATTTACCAGTGAGGAAGACCGGCCTTTATTTACGATATGGCAATTGGCCAGGTTGTCAAAACAACATCTGACAGATTGGGGAACAGAGTGGGCAGGCCAAACGATAGCAGCGGCCATGATTGGGTACAATTCAAATAAAGCAGATGTAGTGGATAAGCCAGCAAGAGAACTAACTTCTCTAGGCCATGGGCCCCACATCTACTAGTTACCCCAGAAAGCAGCAAAACCAGTGTTGGCCGCCGCATCTTTCCAGAGTGTATGGGAATTGTCTGTGATTGGGGTTATGAACATGGCGTGCCCGTTCTAGGAGGTGAGAAAAGTGTGTCACATACGTAAATCGCCATTGCGTGTGTGTGTCTAACATGGTGCGTGAGTCATCTGAGGGGAGGTTCGGGAATAAAGAAAGTAACTGAGATAAAAGATCTACCTTGAGGAATGATCCTCATTGCAAAATTGAGCGACCCCAGCAGGGATTGAACCTAGCTGTAAGTATAATTCAATGTATGCTAGGGTGCACCCAATCTTATCCTGGGGAAGACTTGCCTGCCTGTGAACTGAGTCAAGTTGAATCCCCAGAAAATGTATGTGTTACGGTTGCCCCAGGCTAGCTGAGGGTTGGACCGTCGAAGGATGCTCCTAGTGCTTACCAAAGACCATCAGCACCGCACCAGACACCATAAGCACTGCAGACCCCATGAACCGCCGCAGCTTTGTTGGGGTCTCGTCGTCTCCTACCCACCCTGGACCTACAACAAGGCTCCAGGCTCCAGTGGGTGAACCTCTCTTCCTTCAAAGAGTGAAGCAGAAACAGCTCTTACAAGAGCTTAGTGAGGCTAAGGGAGTATACAGAGTATAGCAATCCTTGTAGTGATTATAGCTGTCCCCTCCAAACACGAGACGAGGCTGCGAGTTGAGGGTCAAGTAGAATTGAAGGTTTAATGGTACAGCTGCTTCTTTTATACAGTATTTCCCCACAATGTTACCGCCCAGGTGGACCTTGTGGGGCACAGGACATGAAATGCACAATCCAATGAAAACAGAGTTTTACATTTGAACACTCCCAGTTACTGTACACAAACCCTCCCCTCTGCCTGTGATACAATAACAAAGACAATAGACTAACTCAATTACCCACAGTCAGAAAGCACACACTTTTACCCAAAGTACAGAAACACCCCAAAACTACAACATATCCCCAAAAATACCTGGATTGCCCTGATCTGGGTGAACAACAATCCAAAAATCACCCAGATCAGAGCAGGGGTACAAAAGTTTTATGGAAGTCTCTTTTGACCGACCGCAAGCATGGCTTTCATGCCCAAAATAGTTCCACAGATTTAGGCTGTGCGGCCAGTCTATTTCCAATGCTAAGTTCCGTTCGAATGCACAAACGGGGGCCGTTCGTGCAAATAGCCAATGTTAAAGTGGCGTTCGAATTGTTGAACGCTGTTCGACTCCAGTTGAAGCGTCGAAGTTCTAGAGAAGGTAAAGTTCAGTGGTGTTCTCGATGACCAAACACTGATGAACGCGTTCAACTAAACAAGATGGCCGCCGCCACGTGTTCAACCACCGCTTCTGGGGGGTAAACAAGCAGCACACTCCACTTGCGGGTGGTCCAGGCTGTTCGACAGTTTGTTCAGTAAACCCCATTTACCAAACCACATAGGGAAAAGGTACAAACATGCCTTTTCACAGTCTTGGGACAAAGTTTTAGACATGGGCCATAGTCCTGGGTCAAGAGGCTGGCAATCATGCCCCTCCAAAAGCCGTATCCAAAAGCCCTATCCAAAAGTGAAGGGTAGTTTGTCTCAGTATGACTGTGTCCTTTTTTTTTAGGGGAAACTGGTATACCCAGAGATTCAAAAAGAGTCAACATTTTTGTCAGGCTGGCAGGGGGCAGTGAGTTGTTTTCTATAGTGAGAAAATCATCCAAATAGTTAATTACAGTCGGACATCTGCAGACATTAAGTAGTAACCAACACAAGGTTTCGGCAAAAATATAAAATGTTTTGGGGCTGCTTTTAGAGCCGAAGGTGAGCCGGGAGAAGAAATAATATAGCCCTCGCCACTTAATGCCGTGCAGATGCCAAAGTGAAAGGTGAATGGCAAGTAATTTGAAAGCATTGACAATGTCCTTTTTACTGATCCATGCTCCTGTCCCAGCAGCCAAAATGGCCCAAAATGGCCCATTGTCAGTTATGTAATATTGCAGTGAAAATTCGTCAGAGGGTATGACTGAATTTAGATTGGGTACTGTGGATGAATGTGGTGCTGATAAGTCAATGACTAGTCTGTTTTTATGTGATGTCTTGCCCGTGACGATCCCAATGGGGCTGATCCTCCATGTAGAGAAATGAGGGGGATTGAAAGGCCCTAGCACATATCCCTGTCCTAATTCAGTGTTGATAAGATCAAACAACTCTGGGTCTGCTATCGTTGTCTGCAAATTATTGCACTCGAGCGTACCAGATGGTAAGTGGATAATGCCCGCATGAAACCCAATAGACAACCCTTCGGTGAGAAATCTAACCAAGTGTTGTGAGGGGTGGTGTTATAGTAAAATAGTAAATGATGTGACATTGATGCAAGTGATGTAAGGTTTAGGGAATAGTTTATTAGGGCACATGGTTTTTGCATGTGCCTGAAAACAGCAGGCACAGACGTGTAGCAGTCTACAGGAACTAAACCCACAAGATCCTGCATTTAAATTATTTCAAATCTGAGATTTGCCCAGAAAAACAATATCTCTACCATGTTTATTCTTCAAACCTTTATTTGGCCTTGCAGAGTTAGGGATTGAGTGACCATGTTCCACTTCAGCTGAATTAGGGCATAGATTGGTGGTGTGTGCCGTGGATGCACAAATCGCACAAACCAGGGGACCTGAGGCCTGCAAAATGCCTGCAGAATAGCTCGGTATTTAATCGGCTCCAGTTGATACTGTAGTTAAACTGAGCCAGAGCTGCGGCCACCTTTGCAGAGAAGGAAAGGTGGTAGTCATAGGCTTAACCACCATATTTATGCCCCAGATCCACAAGCATGGGCGTAGGAACCGGGGGGTTGGGGAGACGCATCCCCCCAGCAAATCATGCGGGGGGGGACAGGTTATGGGAAATCCCCCCAGCCCCGCTGGACC